CATTGGAAGAGACATAGAAACTCATGTTGATATTTTCAATTGTTACTCCAGTTCCAGCTTCTGCCCAGGCTGAACAACTGTCCCAAGAGCTAATGACATCTTCAGCTCCAGCTCCAGCTCCACCTCCACTGCCAGAGCCAGAGCGTGAACAAGAGCCAGAGCCCAAGCCAGAGCCAGAGCCAGAGCCAGTGCACGAGCAAGATCCTGAGCCAGAGGAAGAGCAAAAGCAAGATCAGGAGCAAGATCCAGGGCCAGAGCCAAGGGAAGACCCAGAACCAGAGCCAGAGGAAGAGCCAGAGCAAGCTCACCTAACCACCCCTGAAACATCAAAAGAAGTAGAAGAAACAGCAGCACCCAGGGAAGCCCTGGCTCCAGAGCTCCCACAAACACCCTCACCAGTCCCCACTCCAGAGCTCTCCTTCCCCTTCCCTGCCACTGTGCTTGTCCTCGTTTTTGTCTTTGTCCTGCATCTCCTCAAATTTTATCTTTTTGCTTCATTTATATCCCTTGTATAAAATAAAGTGTTTTAATATTTTCAAAATTACAATTCAGTGGCATGAAGTACATTTCTCATGTGGTGCAACCCTCACCTCTGTCTAGTGACCGAACAGCTTCATCTACTCTGTAGCCATTAAGCTGTCTCTCCTAGTCCCTGACAACCACCCCATTTTCTGTGTGTGTGAATTTACCTATTGTGGATTGTTCCTATCGGGACAGTTATATGTTATGTGGCCTTTTGTGTCTGGCCACATATGAGAAGAGGAACTGATTAATACAGTTATATGTTATGTGGCCTTTTGTGTCTGGCCACATATGAGAAGGAACTGATTAATTTTTATTTTATGTTTTTATTAAGAGGAAAATTACAGAAAAATCAAAGACTATATGTAGAAACACAAAGCCCCGATAGTTATTATTGTCATAATCTTAAAATAGGAACTACTTTTGAATGACTGGAGAGCCAGATGCCACAGAGGAAAAGACTGACTTTTCCTGGTCAAACAAAACAAGAATAATGTCCAAAGCTTAAAAGACAAACCCCAGATTGGAAAATTCTTCATGGGCCGAGAAAGGGTAATATGCATCCTGGTGGTACAAAGAGTTTTCATTTCTCCATGTTTTTAAGGGGACAAAGGATATATTCCTGCAGTGCCAAAGGGAAGCAATTCACATGGCCAGTAAATGTCAGACATCCACAACCTCCCTTATGATGACACACAAAAATGTACACATTATTGAGATGTCATTTGCCCCATCAGATGGGCAGGTCTGTATGTCTGGCGATGACCAGCTCTGGTGACAATGTGGGAGAAGAGGTCCCAGCGGATGTCCTGGGAGACATGTTCGTAGATACTCCATCTCAGGAACCACTCAGCAACTTATATCAAAGTGAACACGCGTGTCCATCTGCCAAGCAGTGGTAAGCCGGGGAGGTTATTCCACAACCACAGCTGCTCAGGTTTTCAAGATTTCTGGTGAAGTGTTTTCATCACAGCACTGGTGGAGGTAGCACGGGGCTGGCCACGTCTCTAACATCCTGTAGAGGGGCTGGGTGTTCAAACCTGGCCCACATGGACCAGGGAACATTGAGCGGCTGCTGAGCTGCACACAGAAATTGTCATGTAAACATGTCATGACGGCCAGTCTGTATTGAGGGTCTCAGGTTGAAAAACATCTATGTGTTGTCAACATGCATACACATCTGTATGTAAATGACTGCTTAGGTGAGAGAGTGAGACAGACAGACACAGGACAGAGGAAGTCAAATGTGAGAGACAGCCTGGGAGACGTGACCAAGCCATGAATGAGGAGCAGCACTGCTGGGTGGGACTTTCAAAAGCTTTTATTCTCCTTTACGTGATATGTGAATATTTTTAATATGCACATTATTTTATATTTATATAAACATTAAAAGCACATTAAATATTATCCACTAAACGCTCACCTACTAAGTAAAGTACATTACCCGGTTTCAACTTTTGTAGGCACTTATTACAAAGACAACAATAATTATAAGGAAATCAGTAGTTCAATATGAATGAAGAATAACATTAAAAACACAGTCCTTCCACCCAGAAGCCCAGTGGGTGTCCACTGTGGTGTTCCTCTTTCCTGTTCTTGCCCTGTGTGCAGGCACGTGTGTGTGTGTGTGTGTGCAGGTGCATGTGTGCAGATGTGTGTGGGTACGTGTGTGAATGTGCAGGCGTGTGTGGGCTGGTGTGAGTGTGTGGAGGTTTCTGTCTTTGGGTGTGTGTGTGTGCAAGTGTGTGTGTGTGTGCAGGGTTGTGTGTTTGTAGGTGTGTATGTGCAGTCATGTGTGTGTGCACATAGTTGTGGGTGTGCAGAGATGTGTGCGAGTGTGTGTGTGTGTGTGTGCAGGGCTGTGTGTCTGTAGGTGTGTATGTGCAGTCGTGTGTGTGTGCACATAGGTGTGGGTGTGCAGAGATATCTGTGCATGTGTGTGTGTGTGTGTGCATTTGTCTGGGGAGAGGGTGCTGTAGGCCTGCAGAGGACCTGCTGTCCCAGTGTCAGGTGAAGTCAGGCATGCCGAGGGGACATGCATGTGCCATCAGCAGTTTCACCACCCCAGTGTCCTGTATCCAAGGCCAGGACCCTTTGCACCACTTGCCAGCCCAACTTCTTCAGTCAAAGCACTTGGAAGCTCTCAGCCTGCTCTGCACCTTGTGATCACACTCAGACCAGCCTGGGAGGAGGTGGCCATCACTGAGTATCCCCAGCATTATAAACAAGGAGCCCTAAGATCACACTGAGGAAGAGACTTCTCCACAGTGACAGGGCTGCAGAGTGAAACAGCACAGTTCCAGCCCAGCTGCTGCTGTCTCCAGGTGTGGCTGCTCCATGCCACCACCTGCATTGAAGTAAAAAATACCCAGCACAGTGGGGGGCTGCCACCTCTGCTGCCCTGGATGCTTGTCCCCATGTGAAGCACAGGAGAGGGTCGAGGAGGGCCTGAGGGCTGCAGCTTCAGGGAGCTGGAAGCTGAAGAGGAGCAGCCACATCCAGATGTTCAGTCCGGGAAGAGAGCAACGAGTCTGTCAAAATGCAGAGCTCTGGCCAGTAATTCCCTCGTGTCTTTGTGAAGAGTATTGCTGCACATCCCTGCTCAGCAAGAACTGCTTCTCCCCGGCCTGGACATCTGGGAAGGGAAGGGCTTGGAGCCCTGGAGAGAGGGGCCTGTTGGGCCGGAGCTGGACTCGTGCAGAAGACAACATTCTACCTCCTGAGCACAAGGGCCAGGGTGGGTGTCTAAGAACAATGCTTCCCTGAAATCCTCTCTCCTTTATCATTTATCTTTCTCCTCCTGAAGAATATACTTTCCATTTTAAGATAAGACAGGGTTTGCCAAGATTGCAAACCACACTGAGGAGTCAATTCTGGGTTTAGCAGCCCAAGTACGCCCAAGTGATCTAGGACCTACTTGTCTAAGCTCTTTGTTCTGTTGTCTGGCAGCTGTGGTAAGACTAGAATAAGAAACATCTGCAGTGAGCAAATAGCCTATGGAGAGGAGGGATGGGGCAACTTGCGTCTTGGCTGACAATTTAAAATTGCAGATGGGGGTTCCTGGAGGACGTTATTATTAAAATGATTAAAGTTCAGTGCCTGCCCCCTAATGATGGGCATCCTATCCTAGCACTGAGTTGCTGTTCACTCCACTATGAGCCAGTTCACCACTTTCCAGTGGTCCGTGTGCAGAAGACAACATTCTACCTCCTGAGCACAAGGGCCATGGTGGGTGTCTAAGAACAACGCTTCCCTGAAATCCTCTCTCCTTTATCATTTATCTTTCTCCTCCTGAAGAATATACTTTCCATTTTAAGATAAGACATACACCAGGGAGACAGCCATTTTCTACTCAGAATCATTCCAGAACCTCCCCCAATATTGCTGACATTCTCCTTGATACCTAAAACAGGAAGCAAAGAACTATCTGGATGCATCCAGAAGATACCACACTTCCAAAACGAGCCCCTGACTTGACTCGGGGCAATAAAAGAGGCTTCACTCTCCTCATCCACACCAACTCTTAAAGGGCACCAGAACCATTTCTAGGAACCCGCAATCAATATTCTCAACTTTCACAAGACAGACAACATGATTCTTGTGTTGATGACTGTTATCAGGAGAGGGCTGGAAAATCTCAATAACTGTCAGGATTGTCTCAGTAAAACTAGTGAACGTCCATGGATCTAGTTACAACAAGCAAAGAGGAGGAGGTGATGAGCTTCCTCGCGCTGGACAAGGAATGTCAGGAGGTGAACACGTTTATCAGCCGTGGTCAGCTTTGATTACTTTCCAGGGAGATGTTTTGAGTGGCTGTGGCATTACACTCTTTAATGAATTTGAAATGGAGCCTAACTTTAAACAAGAATGGAACCAAGAAGGGAAAGTCAAGCCCAATAATGAGCTCGCCTTCAGCAGAGGAAAGTGGGGTACAGCTGTGCAGAAGGACTGAGGGTTCTCAACCCAGCCCGGGACTGGACAACCCACCTCTTACTCCTAGTCAGGTGCTGGGGAGGGTGCAATGTCGGACTTGTGTTGACAGATGCTCCATGAGGCCTACCCAACATTTGGGAAAATCACAGCAGAATTCCAAACTACCTGTGAAACAGACTCAGGTCTTAAAAAAAATAGACACCAATATGAACATCCTGAGACAACCCCTTCATACCAGACTGCCACCCTTGAAGTCCTCTGATTGCTGAGAGATCTTCTCTACAACACCTGGACTCTGCTTCCACTTGAGGCCACACCCCCCAGCCCCTATCTGTCCCCCACCCCTTTCATCCAGCTCCTGACTCCACCAAAGTTGGGCTTCTCCTTCAGAAAATAGGTTGGAGACTCGATTTGTCCATAGTCACTCTATACACTTCAGGAACAACCTACTTATCGGCTGCACCTCTGGTCTGAGATGCTTTCACCTAACATCTCAAAAAGAAAACCAACCCCTGCATCAGGGGAATTGATGGTTGAAATGTAAAAGACATAGGCAGGGAAGAAACAAAGCTAAGTGGTTCCACTTAATCTGCCCCAATCTTTGGTGCTAAGTGTCGCAACCCAGCCACACCCAGATCTCAACCAAAGGGACTCCAGCTTCAACCACAGCAGTCCCACATTCTTTCTACCTGGAGCCTGTACAGCTTTACAGATACGAACTTTACATGTACACACCTGATGAGTTTAGTCCACCGCTTTATAGCTTAGAGCATATAAAATGGGATACTAGATGCAAAGACTTCGAGGATGAGGGATAGACATGGAGAGAACAGGAGGCTGTTGGTGCCAGACCACCGGTAGCAGAAGAAATGAAGGCATAACATTGGACAGAGGAAAAGAAACCTAGAAAATCAACAGTCTATTGTCACATAGTACCAGGATGGCTGTTTGTAAAATTTTTAAGTCAAAAATAGTTAATTTGCTTCGTACACTCTAATTAAGAAAGGACCAAGCTATTCAAATAAATGCTTCACTGCCTTTCTGGATAAAGAGAGTGAGGTATGAAGAAGAAAAGAGTAAGTATCAGGATGTCAGCAAAGGGGCTTAGTACTAGGACGTTTAAACAACTTTCCCTTCATTCGCCAAATCCATTTCATTGTTAGGGGCTTCCTGGAGCACTGTGTTGCTAAGGAGTGTGGAGCCGTAGCCAGTAGGAGAGAGGGCCGAGGCTGACGAGTGTCTCCCATGGCTTTGGAGGTGGGCTTGGGGGGAGGTGCAGAATGGAGGGTTTGGAGGAGAGCTGGGTTCTGTGTTTTCCATCCTAGATAAGAACAGTGGTGCTGCAGGTCAAGGTAGCGGAGAGGCGCTATTGGCATTTGCAAAACGTACTCGGCTCGCTCCTAACATTTTGTGAATATTACTGAATAAGGACATGCCCACTGTTGTTATAGACTGAGCTGCGTAGGACTTTAGTTGTAGTCATAAAATTTAGGCAGCATCATATGATAAGAGGTCAATTAACAGGCATCCAGTCAGAATATTTTGATGGTGGTATGACATATTGTTTAAACAAGGCAGACATTTGCATCTATATTTTATTCCTGATGCTAATGGTGAATTTCCAAAATCAAAGAAACTTTCTGTTCTGTCAGACATGTTGGCCTTTAGAGGAACACTTGGTCCGGAATCAAGACTCCTGGGAACA